TGTGTGTGTCACTTATCCACCAGGTGACAATATATGAACACAAATACAGCTGTGGAATGTCAATGATAAGTCTTAAGAGAACAACATGACAACATGCGACTCATGTTGTCTGTTGAAGAATGTTCATGGGTTGATTGGGTTATTTTAGTGCTTTAGAATTAGCTTTTGCTAAAACTTTCAGTGCGTTAGTGCTTTAGAATTAGAATTAGGAGTCCTAAATATCTGAGTTAGTGTTTTAGGGCTAGTGGAACTGATTTTTAGATTAGTGCTGCCCACCACTGATAGGTACTTAATTGTTTTGCTAAAGTGGTTTACCCCTGGAACTGAACAGCMAATGAGAAGAGATGAAACAACCAGGAAGTGCAGCGTCTCAGCTAATAACAGCTGAGTAACGTCGGCTCGACAGGACTGCTGCAGCTCAGTGGTCAAACGGTTCAGTAAACAAAAAGAGGAACACAAACTGCTTTTGTGCATGAGTGGTTTTAGRAARAAAAAGTAAAAATAAAAGTAAAAATGACTTACTAGACTAACAAAAACAGCTTTGAACAAACAGCATAAAAAGTGAAGCCATACCTTTGCTTTCCAGTGCGGGAACATCTCCGTCTCTGTAAAACAGAAGAGGAAATCAAACACACGTTCAACAGAAACAAAAAGTATAAATGAGTGTTTATTGTTCTGCAGCGGCAAGATCTTGTAGTAAAAAGTACTTCCTCAAAAAACAGGAAGTGTGTGTGACTCTCACTAYCATTCTGTGAGAAGACAGACGCACACTCCAACCCAAACATTTATTTTGATAGTTTTTCACAAGAGTCTGAATAAATGATAAATGTAAGGGGAAACATCTTTTAAAAGGGGGTCAGCTTTCCACAGACACTTCTTTCTATCATCGTACTATAAAGTATGACAGAAGAACACGCTGCCCTGTTGCTGCCTTTGTTTACAGATACTGAGCTTCGACAAGAAGCAACATGTCTGAGCTCTACGAGGGGGGAAATATGGAACGCAAACCACACTAGAAGAACCAGTTCACCACCAGGAGGCGTGGAAAACTAGGTTACCTGGGTCGCTTCCTGTTTGTCTCCCTGAGCTGTAAAACTGTAAATTAATACGATTGTAAGGAAGTGAGGATTGTAAAACTGTSATATTTTCTCTGTAAATGTAGGTCAGCATTCCTCTTCTGTGTCTCCTCTGAAATATGGTGTGCCTCAGGGGTC